CAGCAATAACTTTTCTTTCCATGTCCAAAGGAGAAGTATATAGGTGGGAATTAAGATCCTTCTGTGCCATAAAAATGCTAACATTTTTGTTTTTAGGCTTTTCTGAGGAATGTTGTGATGGGAATGTCAGCAGAAGGGGGTGTCTCTTAAGTCCCGGTAGGAGCACCAGAACTACGTGCCAGAGAAGGTCGGATACTGGGAGTGAATAGTGACTCAGACTGGGGCAGAACGGTCTGGGGAAAAGAGAAGAGGGAAAGAGTCTTCAGCATGATTTGCATAAACCATCCCATCTATCCCTCAGGAACAATTTTTCAAAGTGCTTTTCGAATGGAATGGTTTATGACAACGCTCAACTTTGGACCAGACATGCCAATCAGCACCAAAAATTAGTTTTTCATAATAAAGGATGCCAAGGTCACATTACCCTCTTGAATATAGTAAGAGAAAAAGATTCCATTCCAGATCCCACCCTTGGTCTCCATCTGCCTCCATTTCATCTGAGTTTTGGTTATGGCCCATACCTAAATTTCCCCATTAGATGACAAGATGGTCCTGTCTGCAACGAACCAAGTTTGGAAGAAGAAGCAGGATGTCACAAAATGTGAAACCCAGGAGCCAATCACCTGTGTCCAACTGGCAAAATAAAACATTGTTTCAGGTAGCAGCTACTGTAGCCTGCAGAAAGCCTTAAGGTAGAGATCCATCAGCTCCTGACTTAGTAACAGGTGGTTAAGAGCAAAAGTGCTTCTACGCCCAAAATGGTTCCATCGTGTTGAGAGATTGTTCTGTACTCCCTCCCCATCGTGTCCCTCATTTCTAATTCCTTCTTGAGTTCATTGCTTTGCAATCTAACCATGCCATAAATGGCATACACAGTTCCTTCAAATTATACTAAAAGGGGTGTATGTGCTAGTTTATAACATGAAAAAAAAAAGTTTCCTCTAATACGTTCCCATATTGCAGGCGTACATATTTCCTAGCTACTCTGCGGGTTTTCCTGTAAGCATTTTACTATTACTTTTATATAATCAAACAATAGCTGTTCGCATATACAAGGGATTCCCTTATGTTGTACTTCAAATAGGCACCAAATGCTTTTAATTATTCCGTTTTTATAGGACCCTTTTCTCTCACGTCTAAGAGATCTTTAAATATGATCTAGGTGGGGGGTAGATTTTTTTTTTTTTTTAAGTTTCATCCTAAAACACAAAGAACAAAACATAACCAGAGAGAAGGAGAGAGCAGATGACGAATGCGCCTCTCTCTTTCCGCCCGACTCGGCGCCCTCACAGGTCAATATCCCGCACATCTGTCGGGGTGCTGGCTTGGTCCAGTTCATCCTCTGACTTAGATCCATCGCGCTGGTCCTGACGGTACTGCTGCAGGCTATTGAGAAGCACTGCCTCGATCTGCTCCTGGCAGGCTTTGAGACAATCCTGGAGAAAAATGGTCCAGACCAGAGCTGTCAGTACGATGAACAGGGCACACAGAGCATTTTATGAAGAAAACATATAATTCAGTTTGCATAATTTCATACTAGTTTTCTTTTTCTTTCTTTTTTTAGAGACAGAGTCTCACTTTGTTGCCCTCGGTACAGTGCAGTGGCTTCACAGCTCACAGCAAACTCCAGCTCTTCAGCTTAGGCGAATCTCTTGCCTTAGCCTCCCAAGTAGCTGGGACCACAGGCGCCCACCACATTGCTTGGCTATTTTGTTGTTGCAGTTTGGCCAGGGCCGGTTTGAACTCACCACCCTTGGTATGTGGAGCCAGTGCCCTACTCTCTGAGCCACAGGCACTGCCCTTCATACTAGTTTTCTTTTTTTTTTTTTAGACGGAGCCTCAAGCTATCCCCCTGGGTAGAGTGCCTTTGCATCACAGCTCACAGCAACCTCCAAATCCTGGGCTCAAGCGAGTCTCCTGCCTCAGCCTCCCAAGTAGCTGGGACTACAGGCACCCGCCACAACGCCTGGCCATTTTTTGGTTGCAGCCATCATTGTTGTTTGGCAGGCCCGGGCCGGGGATTCGAACCCGCCACCTTAGGTGTATGTGGCTGGTGCCTTAGCCGCTTGAGCCACAGGTGCCGAGCCCATACAAGTTTCCTAATAGAAATAAAGTGAAGTAAAGGGAGATGTTATTGAAGCTCCATAGAACCCCACTACCCCAAGTGGGGTCCCCAAGCTGGCAGCATCAGTATCACCTGCGAGCTTGGAAACACAGACTTTCAGTCAACCCCAGATCAAGCTAAGCAGCATCTGTTTTAGCAGAGCCCAGGTGATTCACATCCTGAGCAGCACTGGCCCAGGTGGCAGTCCACTTAGGGACTGCAAAGCCTGGTTGGTAATCTGGATGCTTTCTGCCTAGGGAAGCTGGGAGGTGGCAGAGAAAAGGGGAAGGTCCCAGGAGGTGCTGCATATTAGCAAGCCCAGTCACCAAGGAATAGAAAAGAAGGACAATGGACTGAACTGTGCTGACCCTCACGTAAGCTGTGTAAACCCTTAAAAATAAACACCAACAAAACCCCTGAGTTTCTGCTTATTTATTGCTTCCTCAACTCTCATAACAATACAATGCAGACAGGTTCAAAATTCTGGACACCCAAGCTGTCCAATTTGGGAATAAACAAGAATATCTGCACGCAGCATTGCTTTAACACCAGTCTATATTTGGTAGGGGAAATTCAGAGTGTGTGTGGCCCAGGCAGGAGCTCCTCCTAGGTGGCTGGCATGGAATTCGACAGCAAGGCACAGGTGTCACTAGGAAGGGACTGTGGCTCACATCAGCAAGTGGGTGTGGGCTGAGGCACTGCTGCCAGTAGGCATTTTCCAGCCTTCCTTCTCTGCAAGGTTGCCTCTCTGCACTGTCCTTAGAAGCATATACAGAAGGAAAATATGCTAAATTGAACCTCCCTGTGTCTTTCCACAGTTTAATATAAAGTCCCTTTTGTGTGTTCATAGTGTAATTTTCACCACCTATCCTGCCAAGCACAAAAGCATCCTTTATTTTCCAAAGATCTACAATAGCATTGGCATTAACTACTAATGAACAAAGTTCCCATACTATTAAATTTTACTTTCCTACCTCTTATCTATTCTACATTTCAAACTACAGCTTTTAATGAAAATGAAAGAGTAGGAGTGACAACAGACTAGGAGCTAAAGGCAGAGATGAACTATCACCTGGAATTTACTGTAGCATACAGGAGGTAGTACTTGCTGCCCACCCACCACTCTTGCAGGCAGTGGCTGAGTTATTTCACTTTTGTGATCTCAGCTTCCCCATCAGTGGAGTAAGGATACTTAAACACAAAGAGTCAAGAGCAACTGAAATAATACATGTGCGGTGCTGAGTGACAGCCCTATAGATACTCATTTTTTTTATTACGTATAACAGCAAATCAGTCCTGGAACCTGAAAGAACTGTTTACATTTCTTTGAAATGAGGTATGGATTAGCATGCACTCCAGACTGGCAAAGGGTCCACCATGTGTCTGGCACTTGGGGGAGTGCTGAACAAGACAGATGGGACCCAGCAATGGACATCTCTGTGCCACCCCGAACAAAGATGGGATGGAGTCAGGCTCTGACAACTAAGGACCTGCTAACCCAGCTCAAACTTTCCCTGGCATCCTCTGGTCACATGCCCTACCCACCTGACCCCCTTAACTAGTGATTAGATTCTCCTGGGCCTGTCCACCTCTTCCCAGAGTACTTCTTCCAAGGCCTCCAGGGAAACACTGTGTGCTCACAGGTCACCACCTGCTAGGTGGTAAAGGCTAAACATACAACGTTTCTGGGTGCATGTGCATTTCAGTAGATGTTTGAAATCCTTAAAGCCTTATAATCTAAAAAATATCTTAAATATAAAATCAAAGCTAATGTTGGGGTGAACGCATAAGGCAAAATGTGACTACAGTCAAAACCACTGCGGAGTGTCCTTAGGCAGGTCCTGCATTCGAGAAGGACAGTGAGTCTGACACCATCAGTCTTTCTTCTATAGCTGAAATAGACAGCTCTTTCTCCATCTGAGCGCCATGTGAGGAGCTGATATATTCAGAGGGGCTCTGCAGCCGGGCAATACCCATCTTTAAGTGCTAGATGCACTGTGGTGTGATCAGTCACTCACCCCACAAGACAAAGCAGGAACTGAGACACAGACCGCGGCATCATATCTCATCCCATCTGCCCTCCTGCACTCAGAATTTAAATTAGGGTTATTTTCTTCTTTCGCTATTTTTCTTGCAGAGGATAATCAACTAAATCCAAGAAGTTAATGTGTGATGCACGCCTACCATCCAAGTCTTTAGGAGGCTGTTGAAGGGTATGTTGAACGTTTTTTTCCAGGAGCCAGGGGAATGAATCAGAACCCCTTTATACCATGGACGTGGTAACTACAGACTTGCCTCAAATACTGTATATGTGTTCATGGAAGACAAATCCTACTCAAAGTGTAAGGCCTAAAAACTTCTATTATCTAAAATAAGATGGGTCAGGTGTGAAGGCTTGCATCTTTAAGCCCAACGCTTTGGGAGGCCGAGGTGGGCTTGAGCCCAGGAATCTGAGACTGGCCTGGGCAACAGGGTGAGACCTCATCTTAAAAAAAAAAAAAAAAACAAGCTAGGCCTGGTGGTACATGCCTGTAGTTCCAGGTACTTGGAAGGCTGAGGCAGGAGGATGGTTTGAGTCCAGGGAGGCCACAGTGAATTGTGAAGGTGCTACCACTGCACTCTATCCTGGGGAACAGAATGAGACTCTGTTTTTGAAAAAAAAAAATAATACAGTAAACATAAAGAAGGATGGTAGGATTTTCACTGACTGTGGGACCACATGTGCATATGTGTGATATGGATAGACGACAGCTCTGAACCCTTAAATTAAAAAAAAATGTCAGCACTGCAGTATCTGTAAAGGGGCCTTCTCCTGGCACAGCTGTGGGGGGCATCCTTTCTGGGTGCAGCACGTGGAAGACTAGACTAGAAACCTGGGGAAAGACTAGACTAGAAACCTGGGGAAAGACTAGACTAGAAACCTCCTTGACTAGAAACCTGGGGCCTCCTGGCCAATCCTGCCTGCCTTTCCTTCCTCAGGGCTCTATTCTGGCCCCATGGCAAGGTAACCTGGGTCAGGGCATCTTCCAACTCAGTAACATGCTATCAGTGTATCAATCACCAGGGCCTCCAAATGGGGAGAATGGTCTCCAGAAAGCTGAAGAATTTGATTTCAGGCCGTGGAGAGTCTTCCCTTTGGGGTCACCAATGTGCCTACTTTTCCTGCTGTTTAGCCTTCCCTTGGGCAGCTGAGCCTTCTAGGAACAGCTCTGAGAAAACTTTACAGGGAGGACTGGGACATGCAGAAGTCCCCTGTCCTGGACTTTCAGAGCCATGGGAGTTGAAATAACATGCGCGAGGAGTCTCATCTATGTACCTTCCAGTGAAGAATGTGTGCAAGGCTGTTCCAAGATTTCGTACAAAATGCACACTCTTTCTTCAGTCAGTGTCATTTGGATGTTGGTCAAATCACAACTGACGATGACCAGCTCTTAATGATGACCCTCTGATTAGAAGGGAGCAGGGTAACTGAGGCAGTTACCTGGAAGGCAGGAGCTGACTCTCCTCCCCTGCTCTCTTCTAGTCTCCCTTATGACACAGCAGGACGCTTAATCTTAACCGCTCTGGGGTCTCTGCCCAACCCTCCTTCAGGTTCCGCCTCCTCACAGCTTGGCAGTTATCGGCTCCACTTTCAACTACACGAATTCATTCTCAGCTCAGCAAGAGCAAAAGCATCCTAAGGACAAGGGCCTGTCCTGCAGATATACTGTGGAAGGCAGAGAGAGTAATCAGCACTCCCTCGGCTTGAGACTGAGCTCGCTCACTGCACAGCGGCCTCCTCCTTGACCATGGCAGGAACTGTTCTTGGACTTCCTGTGAATGCTGTGAGGTGGTAGAAATGAAGGAAGAGGACAACGGAGCAGTGTGGTCACCTGCAACCGGACATACCAAGTCCACAGAGCCCCTTTCCTGCTCAAAGCAGAAGGGCAGCATGGGACTGGGGAGACCAGGAGGAAGCAAGACCCCTGCCTCACACCCAACCAGGCTGCTTCTGCTGGGGGTCAGGCTGGGAGAAGACTGGAGTTAAGAGTATTTGCAAAGGGGTTAGGATTATAAGAAAACACTCAGAGGTAATCACACCATCAGACAATCTGGAGGTCCAAAGGGCATCTGGGGATCAAACAGCCCAATGCCCTCATTTTCAGGCGAGGGCACAGAAGCCAGGAGAGTTGAAGTGGCTCGCTCCGTTGAAAGCTGAGCCTGCCTTTAAAAAAAGAGAAGCTAACTCCAGAACTCGTTTTCCTATACACCTTTGCTTTGTCTAGGCTTGAAGTAAAAACGAACAGACCAGAGAATCTCTAAGAAAGGGAGACGTAGCCCAAGTGGCTGGGG